AATTTATAAAGAAAAGAAATTTATTGGGTTCATGGTCTTGGAGAATAGGAAGTTCGAAGGCATGGCGCTTTTGGTGAGCGCCAACCCATGACAGAAAAGCAGAAGGCAGAAGCTAGTGGGAGGCAAGAAAGAAAATTGGGCTGAACTCATCCTTTTTACCATGAATCCACTCCTGAAATAACTCACTCCCACAATAACGGCATTAATCTATTCATGAGCGTGAAGCCCCCACGACCTAGTTGCTTCTTAAAAGCCCCAATTCCCACAACTACCTTTAAACATTGAGTTTTGGAGGGAACATTCCAACCACAGCAGTGCAGCAGGGAGAGGTAAAGATGAGAGGAACCAGACCTGGATTGGTAAAGGCCATGAAAACCTGAGAGCAGACTGTAGTTCTTAATGTTGTATCATCTGCACCCCATGGTTAGAAGAAAGTCAGCCAAAGGATGAATAAGCACCGGGGTGGGGAAGGTCCTTTGCTAGTCTATGGAAGGTACATCAGAGTCGCCAAAGAATCTAGCTCTGTGCAGAGGCCTGAAGAGGCTATGACTGGAGTGAGTGCGAGTCACCTATTCACCTATCCCCTGCTTCCCCAACACAAATACACACAAGTGACCTGCCCGTTAAGGCCACCTGGCATAGAGAAAAGAGGGCAGGGTTTGTGGTCAGAGGCTGACTCTCAGTCCACCAGCTGTGTGGGCTTGGGCTCACAGTCCCTTATGTTTAAGACAGGGCTGATAAGACCCTCAGGGTCATTGGGAAGTTTGCAGACCCCTCACTGCATCCAGGGTCCGGCACATTGTGTGTACTCAGCAACTCAGTGCTACTTTTACCTGTAGGGACTATGCTGAGGCTGAGAGTTCTGGAGAAAGGTTGGGCCACAAATGATGTGGCTGACTCCAGTCCCAAAGTCCCAGGCTCCCCCTTTTTGCCCACTGAACTGCTAGATACCAGGTTGAATCTGCTCTGAGGCATGGCACTCAATAAGCCTTGGGACAGACAGGCAAGACAGAACACATTGCAGCAGATAAAGAGCTTTTGCTTTGTCAATAACTGAGGTGGGGGTGGAGGTTTCCTACTCTGGGTCAGCCCAATGGCTCTGACCTTAGCCCTCTTTCAATAATCAACTACCAGACCTTTGGCTATCCTTGGATCTCCAGGCACGAAATTTTGGCCTGAGCCCTGTCTGGGTTCTTGGCGAGGAGCCTGGTCTTCTACCATGTTTCAAGCCCACTTAATTAGCCTGGTAGAGCCGCTGCAGTTTTTGGAAAGACTTCAGCTCAATCATGCCCCTTCATATAAGATTTTTCTCTTGGCTTGGTGCCTGTAGCACAGTGGTTACCACATACACCAAAGCTGGTGGGTTCGAATCCAGCCCAGGCCAGCTAAACAACAATGGCAACTGCTACAAACAACAAAAAAAAAGTCAGGTGTTGTGGTGGGTACCCATAGTCCCAGCTACTTGGGAGGCTGAGGCAAGAGAATCACTTAAGCCCAAGAATTGGAGGTTGCTAAGAGCTGTGACGCCACGGCACTCTGCCAAGGACAGCATAGTGAGACTCTGTTTCAAAAAAAATTTTTTTTTCTCTTTCCTTTCTCAGCCTAACTAATTGCTGTTTGTCCTGCCAGACAATCATCATCTCTCACAGAAGTCCTGCCCTGGGCACTTGCCCCCTGCTCACTTGGGTTAGTGCCCTTCCTCTGGGCTCCCACCAGCCCGTACTTTTTTCTTCTATACTACTTACAGCTTGGTTGGCACTAAGTGTGATTAAAGTGGGGTCTCTGCCCTGGTACCTGGCACTCAGTGGATCCTCTGGCCATGTTTACCGGATGAATGAACCACCAAAGTCAGGCCTTGTTTTTCTGCTCTGTCTGTGATTTTGTTCACTAAAGCCCCCATTCGCCAGCAATGGAGCCACACCTTTATTTCAAGTTCAAAGAGCAGAGGAAGCAGTCCAAATGGGACAGCCATCCCCAGTCACAACCTGCATGGTTTAATTTCACCATCAGAGAATCCAGGAAGCTGGATATGACTACTGGTTGTTTAAATTCCATTTCTAGAAACATTTTATTTTATTTGAGACAGAGCCTCAAGCTGTCCCCCTGGGTAGAGTGCTGTGGCATCACAGCTCACAGCAACCTCCAACTTCTGGGCTCAAGCGAGTCTCCTGCCTCCGGCTCCCAAGTAGCTGGGACCATAGGCACCTGCCACAATGCCCGGCTATTTTTTGGTTGCAGCTGTCATTGTTGTTTGGCCGGCCTGGGCTGGATTCGAACCCGCCACCTTAGATGTATGTGGCTGGTGCCTTAGCCACTTGAGCCACAGGCACCGAGCCTAGAAACACGTTATTAAAGACATGTGTAGAACCAGCCTGAGCCAGAAAGAGACCTCATTTCTAAAAAATAACCAGGCATTGTGGTGGGTGCCTGTAGTCCCAGCTACTTGGGAGGTTGAGGCAAGAGGATCACTTGAACCCAATAATTTGAAGTTTCTGTGAGCTAAGATGCCAGGGTATTCTACCCAGGGTGACCAAATGAGACTCTGTCTCAAAAAAAAAAAAAAATAGTTACCATTCAATAATAAAAAAAAAAATTAAAAAAAAATGTGAGGGAAAGCAGTATAAAGATAGCTCTTCAACTTTTGTGTAGACATTGTTGCTCAGGGCAACACTAAGCTTCTGTGCCAGTCAGGGCCCAGAAGAGGACAGCTCTTGACCAAGGGAATCAATGAGGTGCTGACAGACCAGACTGCACAAACCCCTGCCCACTTCCGCAAGGCCCATAGTAAATGAAAAGGGGAGGAAAAGGCAGATTTTAAGGCAAGACCCAGCCAGTCAACGTGAACAAACTACCCTTCTGAGCCAGTTCTTTTACTCTCTTTTGCCAAGGTGAGATACTCTTGATGGCACCCAACCAGCTCTCCCCTGCCCTGGGGTTTCTTGGGCTCTTCAAGGTCTTCAGGGCAGCAGGCAGGAGTGAGGGCACAGAGGGTGCACAATAGCTCTCACCAAGTGGCTGCTTGGGTGGCTGAGATGACAACGGACGCCTACTTGGGATTGAGAACCTTAGCTTGGCAGGCAAGACTCAGCAGGGCCATGAGGTCCGCTTAGGGCTGGGGTGAAAATAGGGAGGAAGTGGGTTCCCTGAATGTGTTAAGTTAATTCCAAGTCATAGAGGTCCACCCACAAAAAGAATGTCCTTAGAAATGACACTGATAATCAAACCCACAATGAGATACCACTTCGCCCCCAATAGGGTGCTTATCATAAAAAAGTACACAATAACTAGAGTTTTGGAGGATGTGGAGACACTGGAATCCTTATACATTATTGGTGGGAATGTAAAATAGGGTAGATTGGAAAACAGTTTGGCAGTTCCCCCAAAAGTTAAATATAGAGGCCGGGTATGGTGGCTCACACCTATAATCCAAGTACTTTGGAAGGCTGAGGCGAGAGGATCCTTTCAGGCCCCAAGAGTCTGAAACCACCATGGGTGACAGAGAGACCTCATTTCTACAAAAATTAGAAAAATTAGCTCCAGGTGGTGGTGCATGCCTAGAGTCCCAGCTATTCAGAAGGCTGAAGCAGGAGGATCGCCTGAGCCCAGGAGTTGGAGGTTGCTGTGAGCTATGATCACTACCACCACACTCCAGCCTGGGCGGCAGAGTGAGACCCTGTTTCTAGGGAAACACACACACGAACCCCATTTCCCCCCTCCCAAACACAAAGTTAACATATGACCCAGCAGTTCTACTTCTAGGTGTACCCAAGAGAAATGAAAACACGTGTTCATACAAATATTTGTGTACAAATATTCAGAGCAGCTTCAGTCCTAATAGCTCAAAAGTGAAACCCTAAATATCCATCTACTGATGAACAGATAAACAAAAGGTGGTATGTGTATGTACATACATTGAAATATTATTCAGTCATGAACAGGAACGAAGTACACTACAGTGCTGCACCATGTATAAACCATGAAAATATTATGCTAACTGGGAAGAAGCAAGCCTCAAAAGACCACATGTTGTATTATTCCATTTATAGGAAATGTCCTGAATATGCAAATCCATAGAGACTAAAAGCAGATTAGCGGTCTCCAGAGGCTGGGGGGAAGGGGAAATAGGTACAGTGGGGCTTTTGTTTTATTTATTATTTATTTATTTGTTTTGGTGGGAAGTGATGAAAATATTCTGGAATCAGATCATGGCGATGGGTGCACAACTTTGTGAATATATATACTAACCACCACTGAAGTGTGCATTTTAAGAGATGGAGTTTTATGGTATGCGGATTATATCTCAATTTTTTTTAATGAGAGGAAAATGACGCTGATGGAGAAGAATT